TCTATTCTATTCTATTCTATTCTATTCTATTCTATTCTATTCTATTCCTATTCTATTCTATTCTATTCCATTCCATTCCATTCCATTCCATTCCATTCCGTTCCTCATCCATTTGCAACCATTTCAGAAGCCTCGGATTCCTAAGGGGGGTGTGTGGTGGCACCTGCAGAGTCTTCTTTGGAAGGGCCTCTCTTGGGGGTTTTGACACTTCCACTCTTGGGAACCTTTTCAGAGGCCGAGTCCACGGCGAAGCGACCTCGCACCACCATCACCGCCAAACAACTGGAAACCTTGAAAAACGCCTACAACAACTCGCCCAAGCCAGCGCGGCATGTCAGGGAGCAGCTGTCTTCCGAAACAGGCCTGGATATGAGAGTCGTCCAGGTGGGTGATAGTGTCGGAGGTGAGCGGCAAAACAATCCGGTTGATCCAGCTGAGGGACGGAGGTTGGAATCCGGCTTCTGACCCTGATCCGCACACCCAGGGCCTTTTCCCCAGCAGTAGAAAGAAATCTCTAAAATATTGTTTTATTTACCTTTTTGGCACATTCACATCCCCTTTTGAAAGAAATACGAGTCATAATCATAAAGTCACTTTTTTCAGTGCTCTTGTAACGTCACGAACTGTTGTAAGTTGAGGACGACCTGTATTACAAATCCTAGGATTAAAACACTGTGGGATGCAAAAAAAAATAAAAAATGCTTTATGGCCCTCGGCCAGATCCCTCTTCTTGTGGTCTTGCATTTTTCATAGCGGAAAGAACATTTATTGTCGCTGGCTGAATTGATCTGCAAAATGCCCCAGGCACCCAGACCACGTATTCTCCCTTCACTGCCCCCTTTTTCTCAGTTTCCAAATTCTGCTTGCATTCAGAAACACGTCTTTCACCGTGAAAACAAATTTATGCTTGCATATATCTTGCGTCATGTGACTGTTTCACCCAGAGAAAAAGGGGAAGGAGGTGAGAGGACAAGGGTTTCCTTAGAGAACATCCACCTTGCTCTAAGGGGCTTGAAGCCACACCTTTCCCCACACTTTAGAGCCATTGCAACCTTCCCATGGCCACATGACATTTGGCAATTGATTCTGTCATGCCCCAGTTGGAATCTGATTCTGAGGGAGAGGTGGAACAGCTGACAGGGAGTGGGAGTGTGGCTCTGGTGGCTGTGGAGGGAACTGGGGAAGGGCACAGTCCGGCTGAGCATTCAGAGGAAAAACCCAGGCCCACCCCCACTTCATCCTAGGGCACACAGGGAGGAATGGATAAGGGAGCAATGTGGTTTACGGGGGAGGAAATGGCCCTGATCCCCTTTATGGGCTGCAGCTGGGAAGACTGTTTAAAAGGGCAAACTGCGCATGGCAAAGTTGCTGGAAGCAAAGCATGCATTATCTTTGTGGAGGCTTATCTGAGTTTTTGGCATCCTCCCAACTTTGTGCGCCTCGTTATCTTTTGGAAGTCTGCAAGTTACTATCCTGGTCTGTCGTGTTAATTACTTCAGCGTGGTTTGTGTTGGTTTTTTTCTACTTTATCTGTATTTTGGGTTTGGACTGCATTTCTTCCCTTTGTAGACTGTTTTTGGAAGCGTTTGATCTCCTGCTGAGGATAACTGGACATTGTGGGCCAAGCTGGAGGCATTAAAGGGAATTTCTCTACTTTGGTGACTTTGTTACTTTTGTGCCACGCCCTTTATCCCTTATGGGAGGGGCAACCACCTCCCAGCCTTACTCCCGAGTCGCCCCTTTTGTCTCAGCTGCTCTCGCCTTCTAGCAGCTCTGCACATACGCGCACTGGGAACAGGCTCCCCTGGGTCCTCTGCCTCGCTGCTGCCAGACTCCGGAGGCTCCAGAGGCAGCATCCCCACTCCCAGATAGTCCTGGCCCCATCTCTGCATTGGACGCAGGACCCTCGTCCGAGTCCTCCCCAGACTCCCTGACTGATCCCCTTTCTTCTCCACTGTCCGATTCCTCTGCCGTCTGCACTGGCTGCCAGAGAACCCACATTACCTGTGTATAAATAAGAGGAATGCATAAACCTTCTTTCCACCCTCCAGGTGTGGTTCCAGAACAGAAGGGCCAAAGAGAAACGCCTGAAGAAGGATGCCGGAAGGCAGAGGTGGGGCCAATATTTCAGAAACATGAAGCGGTCCAGGGGGAACTCCAAATCGGACAAGGACAGCATCCAGGAAGGAGGGCCAGACAGTGATGCCGAGGTTTCTTTCACAGGTACGCGGAATAATCGCAACAGCGTGCATGCAAATCTATGCTCCAGAAGGCCTGAAGGAAGGAGCTGCCACTTCCTGGCCACCCCAAGGGAAGGAAGGTGGTCAAAAAAAGGTCACAAGATGGCATGGGCTCCCACAATCCATGGTTCCCCCCCCACACACACACTTTATTTTAATGCCAAAGCACATTAAAAAGGGCAGAGCTTTGATTGCACAGTTGTGGTCACTATTTTGATCTATTTTTTCCTCTCCTGCCTTTCACAGACACTCCTGACCGTTGACCGTTAAACCCCTTTGAATGCAATTAAATTCAGGTTCTCCTCAACTTATGAACCAGATAATTTTGCTCACTAAGCCATGTGGCCGTTAAATGAGTCGTCGCATAGAGCTGTGCCCATTTTCTGACCTTTTTTGAGTCCTATCCTTCCCTTCCAGCAGGCGGAGAGCACGAAGTCCAGGGGAGATGGTTCTTCAAAGAAGTCCCAAAGATGCTTTTCCAAAGCAACGAAGCCCAGTGGCCTTTTGAAGAAGCATCTTTGAGACGACCATGTCCTGGATGACTGAGAAGCTCCATAGATGTTCTTCAAGGGAGAAGTTGGATGTTCTTTCCCAACAAGAATAGGGTTGAGGGATATGTCCCTTCTCGCTCTCCCACTTTCCCGTTTCCTTCTTCCAGATGAACCTTCCATATCGGACATCAACCATCCCAATGGGATTTACAGCAGCAGCCTCGGGGAAAACTCCCCCGTCCTGGCGAAACCACCTGGGAGCAGTGGAAACTTCTCCTTGGAACACGGTGGCCTCCCAACTCAGGACCAGTTCCACGATCTCCGGTCCAACAGCCCTTACGGGATACCCCCCTCACCAGGGTCCTTACAAGCTATGTCTGGCCACCCTTCCTTAATGTCCGGCTTGGTTTACCCAGACCACGGCTTGGGCATCGTAGGCCAAGGCGGACAATCGGTGCCTCAACCCATGAGGGTTTTGAGTGGGAATGGGCCCAATTCAGACCTCTCTTCGGGAAGCAGCGGAGGCTATCCGGATTTCCCAGCCAGCCCGGCTTCTTGGCTAGATGAAGTTGACCACGCACAGTTTTGACACTGGACTGGAGAACGCCTTGAGAAGCTGGACGTCCACCTGGAATGAGCCAGGAGAGACAAGTGGGGGGGGGGAACCACAGAAGTCCCTACCCAAGGATGTCTCTTGGGAGGAGTGGAGGAGGAGATGACTGACGGGGGGCCACAGCTTCAGCTTCTTCCCCAAAGATGGCTGGACCTGAAGAAACTTGGCCTTCCAGGTTTGGTGAAGCCTATATGAGCATCAGGAAGGAGAGGCCAGAGGTCCCTTAGTCTGTTCTCTGTGCATTTGTCGTGGCGGGGTCTGAACCCAAGAGAAGATTATTTTTTTATAAAACCCAAGGAAACCTGCCACTCGAGGAGGAAAGAAGAGAAACCAAAATAGCCTTAGTTTTCTTTCGTCCTACGTGAGTAGATCAAGAAAACACGTGTGTATTGGGTGACTTCTTCTCATTCCCTAAAGAAGAGATGAGATGGATTCCTTTCTTGGTTTCCTTCCTCACCCTCAGCCTCTTCCTCCCCTCCTCACTCCCTCCTTCCCCCTTTCATTCCTCTTCCTCTTCCCTTTCCTCTCTTTTTTCTGTCTCTGTCCCTCTTCTTCTTTCTTCCTTCCCTTTTCCTCTTCTCTTTCCTCCCTTTCTTTTTCTTTCCTTCCTCTTTCTGCCCTTTTCCCTTCCTTCCTTCCTTCCTTCCTTCCTTCCTTCCTTCCTTCCTTCCTTCCTTCCTTCCTTCCTTCCTTCCTTCCTTCCTTCCTTCCTTCCTT